CTACTCGACTCGGAAATCAAAACAACTTGGCTGAAAAATGATGGAATACTTGGCGGCTCTAAACGATTACGATGATTGGCGCATTTAAGAGACGAGAAATTTTTATGTACACATATTGGTGTACGCGCGTGAAAAGAAAAAAAAAATGATCGCGTTGATATTAGCTCTCCCGCGGGCGCGAAATTTTTAAATAGTTTTGCCTGATTAATCTCGACACGCACGCTTGAAAATACGCGCGATATTCGCTGTAAGCCGGACTCGCGCGAGAAATCGGTATAATACGTGTGTGTATGTATATAAGATGAACGAGTGCCACTTGTCTATACACCATGTATAGGTGTATATGAATGTAGCACAAATCACATGGCATAATCTCTCGTGATGGTACATAGCGAACATATAAGCGGTGATATAAAAATATGTAAAATGTTAAACTTGTCGATATTCCGTCGATACATTGTATGTATGACGACGACTGCGACGTTATATTCCGTGTGCTGCTGCGCGCGATATTATAGATATATAACATCGGGGTTTTCATCTCCTTCTTTCTTTTTATTTTGTATTTCGTATATATATGTACGCTGTCGACAGAGAGAGTAAAAGACATATCCTCGGCAGATTCGATTATATCCGTGCGTTTTAATCTCGTTTATTCGTCGAATAATCGAAGTTGTATACATTCGCAAACGACGTCGTAAACGAGGCGCAAAAAAAACGATGTACATAAGATACAAGACAGAAGAGAAAAAAAGCAAAACACACGTTTGCTGCGCGCCGGGGTTTATCTTTAATATAGCGATCTGCGTTTGCTTTTTTTCGCGTTGTACGCTTATACTTGCAACAGACATCTTCCTTTCCTTTTTCATTTTTCATTTTTTTCTCATCGGATTCGTTGTTTATACAAATATAATACACGACGTTCGAGGATCCGTTTATAATTTATACATCGATGAATAATTATGCGCGGGAATAAAAAATCAGGTAAAATAAATAAAAAATCGAATGAATAATTTAACTTTCGCTAATGTCGATCGAACAAAGAGATCGAAGCCTATGTATAGTATAAACATACATCTGACACTTGTACGCGCATGCATAATACGAGAGATAGAGCCGAGAAAGAAAAATATGCGATGGCATATAATTACCGTTGAAATCTCGTTTATAAGCGAGGCGCACGCAGCAGTATATATATCTATACCGATTGTTCGCGTGCATTTACATTTATGCTGCACGATATCTCGACTCTCAACGTAATTGATCTACATATAATATAAGGCACGCATGAAAGAATGACTCGCATGGCTAAACCTATCTCTCTCTCGAGTTATAGCTACTTCGTATCCGTTTCATTTGCATCGCCTCTCGTCTCGTCTCGTTTCGTCGTGCAAAGATGTGTCTAATACAATATTTCGCGCTCGATATATGGTATATGCAACGTCAAACGGAATTGATAACTCGATTCGATTTCCAACATCGCGTTAACGTGCGCCGTGTGCTATAATGTAAAGTCCATTTCGCTGGAAACACATATCGATACGCGAGTGTGTGCATGTGTGTAACAGTCGATGGGCAGAGAAATGAGCGCACGAGAGAAAGAAATTCAATACGCGGACAGCTACGATGCACGAAGATTTGCGAATATTGTTCGCGGTATGCGCGCCGCGCGACTTGTCAAGTTAAGTGTGTGACGCGTGTATTACACGGGGCGTTTAGCGCGCGATCCTGTATATAAATACACGTGACCCGCGTGTATGGCAGATGTACTCGTATATATATTATAAGTTAAATATCGCGCACGTACGAATCAATCAAGCGTGCGTAACTCGTATACATGGATACAGCATACCGATCGATCGATTTATCGGCGAGAAAAAAAATAACGCACCAACATTTTTGCCCTGTAATAGTTCTCGATAAAGACGTCTGGGCGTAGAGCCGTGAAAAAAAGGTATTTAATATAGAAAACAAAACCACCCACCTCGTCTCGCGCAATCAATTTCTCCTAATTTGAAAATAATGACAATGATATTTTTTAATTCCATGCCGCAATTTTTTTGTTTTTCTAATTGCTCGAACGAACGAATCGCCTCCTTTTTTCTCCCTCTCTCTCTTTTATCGGCCTCTCTCGCTCGGGCGCAGCGGTAAATATTAACGTTATAAAAATTGCACGCGTAGCGCGCAGCAGCAGCAGCAGCAAGTGACGGCAGCGACGGCGTCGGGGCAGTGCAACAGATCGAGCGGTGCTACTCTTTCGCTCGCAGCTACGTAACGTTTATAATCAATGATTTACGTCAAAAGCATTGAAAAGAAAAGAGAAAAAGAGAGGGGTAAATAAAAATTGCACGCGAGCGGCATACTATATTCGGGCAGGTCTTTTGAGAGGTGCTCTCGCGCCCAAAAAAGTGTATATATACACGACGACGCGAGCGAATAATGATATTTCGGGGTTTTACCGCCTAAAGGTCTATACCGGGCTCTCGCAGAGCGTGTATACGATCAACAGCCAAAACATGATGTACATGGCCCGGCCGCGAGAACTCTCGAGGTGTGCTCCGCAGTGCAAAAGTGCAGCTGCTGGGAGTGATCAGAGAGAGAGAAAAAACGTTATATTATTAAGCTGTCTGCTTTCACGTCTGCCTCGTCGTTCTTTCGCAAAGTATATCTCAAAATTCGAGGCCTGGAAAATCGATTTGACATATTTGATAAATATAAATAAACGCCTGTACCGCTACGTACTGTACTTATAGCCAACTCGCGTATACGTAGTCATAATCACGTGCAAAATATGATGCGCGCCGAGCACGAGTTCGTAAGTATGATGGCTCTTTGCGCGACTCCGCGAGACTTTTAAACAAAGACGACGACGTATACGTATACAGTATACACATACAATATAATATGAGCGGGCCGAGGACGCGATAATGACGCGCGTGATTTTTCAGAAAAGAAAGACGAAAGAGAGAGATTTATGATTTCGACGAGAGAGAGAGAGCGAGCGAGAGAAAAAGGAGGAAGCGATGCCCATCGCCGCGGCGCTGCATTTCAAGAAAGAGAGAGAAAGAGAGAGAGAGAGAGAGAGAGAGAGGTGTATACGACGAGAGGAAAAAAAATGTGCGAAATGGAGTGCAAGACATCGCGATGACCCGTTACAAGAGAGAGAGAGAGAGAGAGCCGAGAGAGGTATATAACGTTTTTTATTGTTGATGTTGTTGTGTGTTTGGATGACCAAAAGGCGCACCAGAGAAGCATAGCGGTGTGCATATGAAGAAGAAGAAGAAGAAGAAGAAGAAGTAGAAGCAAAAAAAAAGAGGGAAAAACGAGAGCGCCATGCCGCCTGCACATCACACACATACACACACGCGTATACATAATATGCAGTGTCTGGCACGAATCATCATGGTAGAAAGGAGCGTATATATACAGTACACAAGAGCCGTGGCGAACGGCCGTAGCAGCAGCCGAGTCTCTTCGCGGGGCCTTATACTTCATACTTACACATTTTAACAGCAGCACAGAAAACAGGATCGTATCGTTTTGGCTTCGAGGCCCGACGCACAAAGACTCGACGCGCGTGCGAATAATCGAAAGGCAAATAACATATCGAATTAAAACAACACGACGTCCGATAATATCGAACATTGATCTGCTTTCGGCGTGGTCTTTCGTCATCGTGTTTATAAAACATACACATACACCTGCCCCGCGCCACAGCAATCTCTATTCGCGAGCGAGAGCAGAGAGAAGCATCCGAAGAAGGCCTATATATTATAATACGCGATCGATGAATGAGAGTTGTGTGTTTTTTTCTCTCCTTCGTCTTCTCTCCTTTTTAAGAGAAAATAGAAACGAGAACTCGATCATGTATAGATAATGCCTGGGAAACGATAATGAGAGATGTATGAGTCTAGTACAGGTCCTGCAAACGATCTCACGAATAACACGTGTATGCAAATAAAACAGGCAGATGATCCGAAAAAAAAAAGAAAAAGAGTAGTAGACGGTAGGAAATCATGGAACTAATTATACGTCGGTGCTTCTCCCTAATAAAACGAAGTTCTTTTTTTCGAGACATATTTAATTGGTAATCGCGTATTGTGTTGAATGACTAATTCTCCGCGCGGTACGTAATACAACGTGGATGCGCTTATACCGAGTAATAATTTTCACAGCTAGCAGCTCTCACGATCACGATCGCACTGGACCGAATTAACGACTGGACTGTGTCCGAGAAATTTTGGCACACAAATCGTTATAAAAAGATGGACACTATGTATCATTAGAAAGTCGCAGACGAGGCGCTTAGATCGTTCTCTGTCTATAATTTTGAAAAAAATATCAGGAAGCGAATTCGGAGTCACGTACAGGAATGCACACAACGAAATATAGCTTGCATACGCGATCGTTAAAAATTTTCGTATGTAGTTTCACGAGAAGCGGAGGATGTATTTAACGATCGATTCGTGAGCTCGAAAAAAAAAATGTTTCTAACTCTGTATTTGAGCGAACGAATGGAAAATTTGAAAATAGCAGATGTATTTATGCAACAATATACATTCGTTCGGACACAGCGGCTCGAAATAGGAAATTCAACAATCAAACATTTTTTGCAACAATCAGCACTTGTCCAAACGACGTGTAGTACAACACATAATCCATCTTAATTCTAGATAGCCGGTGCACAAACTCACGACTCTGAAAGCAGCTGATGTACAAACAGTCCTCGCGTTCAAACATAACACAGCGTTTGAAATTGTATGGGTGTACGTGTGTGTATGTGTATTCGGCATTTTAAACGAGTAAAATCATCGAGAATCGGCGTTTCGTGGCCGATTTCGAAATTCGCCTAGTCGTGGCAGCACAGTCATTTTTCAAGCTCTCTCTCTCTCTCTTACTCTTTCGACCGGTACGCAGGCCGAGCGTCGGCAACCACACATACACAAAGAATTACACACACACACACACGAGTAAAATAGATAGGTATACGGACGACGAGACAGCTTGACTTATATATACTGCCAATGCGCGTTTTGCTTCATAACAATTATCATCGTCTCCATCGTCTTGCTGCTACAGCGTTACACTGTGAAACCGACCGACCGGCAAAACTGACGCTCGTGTGTTTGTGTTCGTGTGTATATACATGTAGCGCACAGTGCATCATCGTCTGCGAATTCCACAACAACTGCGGCAAGGACTGCTCGTTGCACTGCTGCCACTACACACAACTGTTGCTCCGATCTCTCGTGGCTCGAGAGAAATACTTTACGCTCGAATTTATCATTCTTCATCGAGTAAGTAAACAATTAATTTGTCAGTATAAAATATTATTCTCGTTGTGTACAACTCGGCTTTCGAGCAACGTTTTATACACGCGGCTTATCGCGCGTCAACATCGACGATGCGTAGGCCTCTGCACTCTCTAGATATACGGCGAAAATATTGGTCAGGAAGGTTAGGAAGTCTCTGACTCTCTGCTTCTGCCAAGTAGTATAATGTGTGTGCGTTTATCCGTGTGTACACTCGCACAGGTCGCTCTCCGGCCTCCTCCGCGTATATAGCATATATACAGAGTAGCGCAGCAAATATTGCTGTACAGTTTTGCAGCGAGCGAGAGACAGAGAGAGAACGCGATGGGGTGGAGGGGGCCTACAACTACTACTACACTTATATACTACCTACCTAGCGTGTGTATATGTGCCACCACCGCTGCGCTCTTTGGGATTTGAGGGGCGAACGCTGCGCTCGACTCCGAACCGCCGCCGCCGCCGCCGCCGTTGCCGTGCCGCCGTTTTCTCGCGCTCCGCGCAGCAGCGCCAGTTTCGCGCGTGCCGCCAACTAGCGAGCGTCGGGATTTACACGCGCGCGTCTAGTTATACGTATTAAAAACATAATAATAAAAAAAAAAAAACACGCCAGACAAAAATCGTTCGCCCCTACCAGTGTGCGGTGTGTAGTGTGTATAATAATAACGACGAAAAATTGCAACGTGTGAATTTTTAAATAATACAAAAATTCTGCTCCATTGTAACCAACGGTCGACGAATGTTACATCTCCACGCGTCGGTTATAAAACAAAACGAAATAGTATACTTGGAACGCGCGTGTGTGCATTAATTGCGTACAGCCGTTTTGTGCAGAGAGAGAGAGAGAAAAAAGTGTTCGGGGCAGGTTGCCGTTGCCTTCGTTTTCGAATTATATTTCGTTGCTGTTATTCGAAAAAAAAAGAAAAACCCCAGTGAAGTGATTCTAGTATTCCGGCAAACACACGGTGTGTTGTGTGTTGTGACGTATTCAATTAGTTCGATTGTAAAACACAGAGAGCCGCAAAGCGCAAGATAACGAAGATAACCGTTTTTCTGTCTCACTTTTTCTCCGAGTGTGTATGTTTGTGTGTCTGTGTGTTCCGTGCTGCATATAGGCGTACATGCACGCCGGTTTAAATTTTTCACCATTGACCCGGCTTGCCGGCAATTTACAGTGACGACGTGGTTGTTGTTGTTTTTTTCGAAAAAATAGAACGTCATTCTTGTGCATCCTATATACGTAAAAAAAAGAAAAATACGCGAGTGCGCCCGCAGGCAATTTCTGTGCGTGTGTTCGTGACACGGTATAAAATAATATACAAACACACACACACACACAGTGGCAAGGTGTTTCGAAGGCTTCACTCTACCTGCTATCCGTATATATCATAGTGTATGTGTGTCAATTTTTCGTGCAGTGTTGCTAGTATATATACTGCGTGATCCTCCAGTATAATACGAGTGTGTTAGTGTCTCAGTGTATATTTGTGTATCTGTGTTGTTGTATACACACAAAGCTGAGAGAGCAGCAGCATCAGCAGCTGACAAAAGGCTCATTCTCCGTGTGTGCAGTGCGTGAGTGTGCAGCGGTGGAGATAAACAACGAGCCGCCCCGGGTGTTTTCTATATATATATACGACGACGGTTCGGCGATGCCCGAGACTTTTTAAGCAAAGGTTAGCTCTTCATCTTCGATACTTTTTTTTTCTTTCTATTTATACGTTATTGCGTCGCGCCCGAGAATATAATATAAAATACCTACGCGTCGCCGTATTATTTGTATATTATTTGAAACACGAAAAATCGGAGTTGGGAGCGTCACGGCGACTTCGAACGCTCGGCTCTCTCTCTCTCGCCGGCCGGCGTCGTCGTCGTCGTCGTAGAATAGAGAGCCTTTTAAATATTGACGCGCGGACTTTTCTATACATGATTTACATGCCTGTGTGTACGTGTGGGATTCTTAATACTGTTGTGGTGCCGTACATATATTAGCAAACACACACAGGTAATAACTCGTAGTTGTATGCAAGTGTTGGTGCAGCCGCTATAGGTCGATATTTGTATATGTGGGCGCATTACTGCGCCAAGGGGGGAATGATTCAAGCTAGTGGACTGGCAGTATAGTGGTAGTAGTGGAGAGTCCGGTTTCCCCGAGAGAAGCCCGCGATTCTTAGAAAAAGCCGCTGCTATTCCGTCCTGTATATATACTGTGTATATACCTCCTCCGTGAGTGTGAGTGTGTATATGTACGTCGCTTCTTCTTCTTCGTCTCTTCTTTACTTCTTCCTCCACCTCCTCAACTCGGTGTGTTTCGTCGTCGTCGTCGTCTCTCCTCCGTCTCCCTCGTTTTCTTTCATTTACGTCTCTATATGTGGTTGAATTTATATACACAGTACACACATACATATATATGGTTGTTGTACATACACATAGGTGTGCGTGATCCACTGACTGGCATCGCACAGTATAAATACAGAACTCAGTTAGGCTGCTCCAAGGTTTACTTGTTTATAATATGTATAAATCGAGATGCTCGCGTACTTTTGCATGCGTGTGCTCGCTCGCAAACACACATGCATATGAATACGACATACATGTATACGCGTGCACATATACATATCGTTTGTTGACACAACTACTCGGCTACATTCGAATCCGCTAAACGCGCATGGCATACATGCATAGCATACATACATACGTACGTACGTACACAAGTTTGCGTATATATCGCGCGCATTCTCGAGACTCCTCGCTAAACTTCGATCTGCGTTGTGTGCTCATTGCAGCGCATAGTGTGCAGTAGCAGCAGTGTCAGCTAACGTGCGTTGATGTATACCTGTATTTGTGTACGGAGAAAATGATCGATACGTTTACAGACACACACACACAGGCAGGCAGGCAGTACTCAGGCACTAATACTCGGCAGCTCGACCGACCGACTGATTGAACGTCAGAGAGTATAACGACACAAAGGCCTACGATGTCTGCGATGCTGCCGCTGCTTCTGCCATATAACTCAGTGGACTATATAGGTTGCAGCTGTAGCCAATGTGCAGTATTGTATACGAGAGGGTACGGAGCCCCGTACGCTGCAGAGCTCTCGATTTTTCGTATATATATAGGGCTCTTCGATGAAACGATGCAGCGAGACTCTGCTGCGACGTACCGATTTCTGCTCGTTTCAATTGCAGTTTTGCCTATACGCGCGAAATAAAAGGTGTGATATAACAGAGGATGAATCCGAAACAAGCTCCGCGTGAGCTAAAAATGTGTTATATACAGTAGTGCCATGCTCTTTCAAGTTCAAGCGTTTTCGCTCATGCATGTGTGTGTGTGTTGCTAGACACCATATATAGCATTTGGCCTCCTATATACAATATAACAGCACGCAGCATATAGCAGGCACAGAAAGAGAGCGCACGAGAGCCCCGCGTCAAAGCCCCGCGAAGGAAAGAAGAAAAAAAAGACAACGACAGAACCAGAAATTATTTGGTCTTGTTCACTTTTGCATGCGCAGCGGCGGCAGCGTATGATAGGTGCGTGCAGCCGTAGCACGAGGGCGTTGCGACGAACAAAAAGACGCGAACGAGACGTTGGATCTGCTGCCACCATATAGCTGTGTATGTATAATATCGTGTGCAGTACGCGCGCGAGCTGCACCGCACACACACGCGTTAATTTATGGTTTTCACAACTGTTGCCCGCGCTCCTCTATGTCTCTCTTTTTCGTTGCACACACGCACGCACGCATACAGGTCACTCGTTCGGCTCCTTTTTTTTTCCTACACAGCTACACCACACGCGGGCACAATCTCTGCTCCGAGATTCGAGTGTGCGTGTGCGTCTGTGAGTATACCTATGATCTCATCGGCGGTAAATTTTGCACTTTCTATGTACACTCTCTATCCGTACACGCCAATTCTTTCCTTCTTCCTTTTTATCTTTTTCTTTCTTTCTCTCGCTCGGCCGTCCTCGTCATCGGAATTCACGAACGTATATTTCGCGCGCAGATGAACAAACGTCGGCGTATACGCGAGTATATATATCTGCAGCTGCACTGCATACACACACGTGATTAAAGCACGAGAGAGAAGTATAGAGAAAGAGAAGTTGAATGAACTATTCTCTCTCCTTCTACTACTCTCATCTCATCTCTCTCACTCTCTTTACGGCACAGCAGCAGCAGCACAGCGAAACACCAACACTGTCGAGCCATTTGATTAATGAACGCAAAAGCTCGATCGTTTCCTTCTATAATGTGTATCTCGCCGAGCTCTTCGCTGTCTCTGTATGTGTATGTTTATTATACGTGTGTGCTTGCATGCCCCCATGTGCGCACATATTGTATTCTTCACCTCCCTCTCCCCATCTTTTTTCTACCCTGTCTTCGCTAGAAACGATATTCCGCTACATACTCCGCCGAGTATTAAAAATTATTTCAACTCTTTTTTTATTTATATCGTTCGTGTGCGGCTCACTAGGCGTCGTATTATTATATAAAAATCAGAGCAATTAAATTGCCTTCCAGTTGCTTCTCTCTCTCTCTCTTCTTTCGCTTCACTCCAAAAGCCATCTGCACTCTGACACGGTAATAATTGTTTTTCCGCTCAACGACGACGCAGCAACGTCGTCTAGCTGCCGTATGATGATTTATCGAAGAGTATCAAGTATGTAATGGCTTGTATATCGAAAAAATAACAGGCAAGCAGTCTGTGAAAATTGAATTGGCCGCGCGCGTATATGTACGTCGCGTACGTATATAGATTAATCGAACGACGCGCAAACATACACACCATCCCCCTTTTTTTTCTTTTTCATTCGTTAACTCCCTCCCACTGCGCACGCGCCTCGCGTGATGTAAATTGTAATAATAATGCATATTATACCGCTGTGTACATAGGCACATACATCGCGATGGGAACAATTGCCGCCGCGCCGCGAGAAGTAAGTGCGAGAAACGAGTTTTGGAAAACCAGTTCGTTGCCGCGCCGCAGCCGTGCTAGTTGAAAGTTTTATTTTTAGTAAAAGACCCGTCGAGATAAAAAAGGGAAAAATAAAGAGTAGTAAGCGAAATGATTCGTGTATACTTGCACGTAGATTGTGACCGCAGCGCGAAAAATGCAAGAATTCGCGAAGATTGCTCGCTTATAAACCAAAAAAAAAGAGACAAAAAAGGAAAAAAAAAAGAAGTCGAGGCTGAAAAAGGGAAAGAATAGGGTGTATACGCGGCCGCGCTCGCATCGCAGATACAGAGCTGCAGTGAGAAAAAGGAAATTGCTCCAAGTCACGAGACACTCTTCGCCGCTGCGGTAGCTTCTTGGCTGCTGCTGCTGCTGCTGTTTGCTACTTTTGCTCTTTTTCCTCGGTACTGCGTGTTATATACGTATACAGCTTGGAGTCTTTGCAAAGCTTTCGAGAGCAGCAGCAGTGACTCCAGTGTGTGTGTCGCGCGCATCGCGTTTCAAGACTCTATAATTTTCTGCTCGCTTTGCGACGATTGTTCATAATCTCCGTTGCACTGGAGAGAGAGAGAGAGACACACACATACTCTTATAACTTCTCTTCTGCTTTTTGTTATGCATATTTTAACAATCGTTTCGTCGCTGCTAGAAAGTATCAACGCGACACTTTTTAAGCTCTCTCCCTCCGAAGCCGCGTCGACGACTTGTTCAACTTTGCCATGTCTATCTAGTAGTCTTCTATATAAATTATACGTCTGTAGCTTGTTATTGCACTCTCTAGCCCGACCCGACGATCATTCACCGTGACCTTGTATATAATCGCTTCCACAAGGCATTTTTCTTATTTGATTTATATGAATGAAAATTTCATCGATAGCTCTGATTGATATCAATCTATCCCTCGCATTTTGCCGTATACATAATACAACACGCGATACGTATAGTTCTTTCAGCGATCGTATATATTCCACTTATATTAGATAACTGTTTAGACGAAAGAGATTATTATTATATGTATTTGCGCTTGCATGTAATGCTCGAATAGCACGCATTTGCGATTAGTGTATAAAAAAAAATTAATCGTTCATTATGGGCGTGTGTGTATGAGTACGTACTGAGTTCCGAGCGCTCTGTAGCTCGCGTTGCGTCATACAGCACATGCCGCGAGTATAGTGGCTTACTCACGCGAATAATACAAAAAAAAAAGAGAGAAATAGGAGGGGGACAAGAGAGGCGCAAGCATAAACATCCGCTCTCCGGAGTCGAACCGATTGATCCCGTCGTCGCCTCGGCGTTATACACACATAAAGCTCACTTAAAATAATGAATAAATGTATACGGTTCGCGCGCGCGTGCGATTAATAATCGGGACGTATACGCGTATGCGAACACTTAAACAATTCTTCACCTCGATTCTTTCTGTATAATACACATGAAAGGCATGGCGAAACTGTATTAGCGATAAAGCGCGACGTATGTGCTGTAATGTACAGGCCAGACGTATAATACGCCACACGTACACACACACGATGTATAGCGCGTGCGAAAAAGGAACGTCTTTGAAGCTCGCGCAAACCTCCCGTCTGTATATGTGTGCACGAGCCACTCTCTTATCTCATTCGTCTTGTCTTATTCTTACTCTCCGCGGCGGGAGAAGAAGAAGCTACAACACATATACGCGTTATATATATGTATGTATACGTGTGTATGAGCGA